TAAAAATGCATCAGGGCCACTACAGAATGATTAAGTGCCATTAAACTGATGGCACTTCAATTGCATGCCATTAGGGAAAAGAAAAAGAAAGTCAAGCTTATCCACATAGACAGACAACTCCCTTCTCTGGAATGGAAACTGTATCCAAATGTTTTAGGAGAGAATTTGGCCTGAGGAAATTAGTATATTGAAACAAAAAAATATTTTTTTTTGCCTGAAGATGATGACTTTTTACTGATTTGTAGACCACCAATTTTTATAGATAAGAAGCTGTCTGCCTGTATCAATGTTTTTAGCATACAGGTTATAACAGAACTGAAATTTCAACCTAAGTGATTGGCTTTTTTTTTGTTGTTGTTTTGTTTTTAATATGAATACTGACTTTGACTTTTAAAGAGCCACCACAAACTTAGAAGTTTATGATACCAGTACAAAAGTGAAAAGAAAAAAAAAAGCTGATGTAGCATTTACAGCATTTACACGAGATAATGTTACCTCTAATTAAATAATTCAACTCAAAGAAGAAGGTTGTATGTGAAACTGAGTCTTCTGGAAGGACAATTCACTAAACTCCTAAAGATCCTGATACAAGTCATCTGGGCAAGCAAGCAAGGTCAAGTTTGCCTCAAACCCTTCATATTACAGGTGACACCACTCAAGTTAAAAAAAAAATAAAAAAATAAAAAAAAAAGCCGCATGGGTTTTACATTCTAGCATGAGATGGCAGCTGCATACCACATTAGCTGCTGATTTACAAGTGCAAGGTGTTCTTTCACATCCCCAACAGATGATGATCTACAGCTTCTAGCATGATTTGCCTATAGTCATCCAAGGAGAAAGTGAACACAGAATTACTGTCAGTAAAGTTACCACAGCCTGACTCAGCCTTCACCAGGTGATGTAGTACATCAAATGCCTTTTCATATGAGCCCCAGAGTATTATTAGCTTGCAGACTTGCAGTGTGCAATGTTACCAAGAAACAAACAACAAAACATAGTACCATTTCAACTCCTTCACAATGAAAGTGAAAGTATTTAAAGATAAGACCACTGAGCATCAGAAACTGTGTTTAGAGATGATTTTTATGTCTCCTACTTCCTGGATGGAACAAATACTTGCAAGTTTTAAAGCTAACATATAAATACAGATATTTAAATACCACAACTTCAGCTGTACTACTGGAAGTATTCTATTCGGGCTATGATGGTGTTTGCTCTAAGGAATTTTAAGGGTTATTGCAGGGGATCCAGATGCCCCATCATGTTGTGCTGGAATATGTACCACAATGAGTCTGTAACTTGTTTGTTTTAAAGGACCTTTTCCCCACTCAAATGTAATCTGGGTGACAAGTAGTCCAATGCTGACCATCAGAAAAACTGCCATAACAAAACATGCCACAGCCAAGGTGCAGCTTCACTGAACACAAGGCTTGGCAGAAATCCTGCAAATTCACAGCTAGGATTTGATCACAGTGAGCTTCCACTTTCAGCACATTCCTGCTTCTCCACATCCGAGGATCAATCCAGCTTTATGAACAAAGCAGGCCAGAAACTGGTAACCTGGTAGCAAAGATTTCGCACTGCCAAATGTTGGCTTCTATTTAATGATAAGCAGTCAGTGAAAAAGGTCTACTGGAGAGGACAACACGTGCATCTGTGCATTAAGAACTGAGGAGAGAGTAATGAGATTTTATGGGAGATGCAAAGTACAGTCCTCCATAAGACATTTTAGGGGAAAAGTAAGGCAAAGAAAGGTCAAGCTGTACTTGTACAAGGGCTGGTACATTACCTGCAATGGAACATTTTTGCTGTTTCTCGCCTAGAAAATATGCCATGACATATTAAAAGACCACAAGAGGACACTATGGTGCCACTTACGTCAAAATGTGTTTACTTCAAGGAACTTCCTCCTTTCCCACTTTCAAAGTTACTTGTAACTGTATTTGGTGCATGAAATAGACATTTTCTACAAATACATATTAAACTCCTCTTTAGATAGTGAAAAATCACTAAGCCTAAATTTTTTTCTTCTTTCTCCCTTCAAACTCAGTTTTGGTAATTTAAAATAAGACAAACAAGACCAAAGTCTCCTCCACTAAAATTGAAAAATACTGCAGTAATTTTCAGGGAAGGATTAAGATGCTGAAAAAACATTCCACGGTTTGTTGCACTTCCTTTTATTCTTTCATTTTTCTTAACATAATTTTTCAGTTCAGTTGCATTCTCAGCACTTAGATTTGCCATGAACTATTTATTTTTTAATGAATGACTCAGAGAAGAAACTTCCATTTTATTTGTCTGACAGAACTCATAGCAGCTTCAGTTCTAATATTAGCTGTTTTAAAATCTACTTTGTTTCTCAGCAAAACTCATAAAGAAACCTGAATTTTGCTTGCCAGGCATCATGTCTTTCTTTCGTTGTAAAACTACTGACTTCATAAGTGAAGGAAATGTTTTACGAAAATACTGAGGTGAGGTTACAGAGAAAGGGCTTCAGAGAAAAATAGCCACCCATAAGGGAGAGAATCATCCTAGCAAAGTTTACAAATCAACAGAAACAGAGCAAAATGAAGCAATCTCTCACTTGAGATGAGAGCAGCAGCGTTTCTGACGTACGTTAAATGCTGAACTTTCCTTACATTGTGTTTTTTACAGTTTGTTGGCTCTCCTCATGACAGATTATTTCATGACAGAAGCAGCTGAACCAGGTCTAATATCTCCTCTGAGATCACAGGAATATGGTGCACAGAAGAAAGGTTGTGTGCTGCTTTTACTCTGAATGAAAAGAAAAAAAAATTGCAACAACTTCTCAAACAATATACAGATGAGGAAAGAGTTGTCACCTTTGCAATTTGAGGAACTCAAACACTGTGTGAACAGCTCATCTGATAACAGTAGACATCAGGTAACTAAGGTTTTTATCTTAGTCACCAGATACCTTGGCACTTATGAAAAACAGAATGGGGATGAAAATACTTTCCTTCTTTGGAATTTTGTTTTTCTCTAACAGAAATTACATAATCATCTTATAAAGAAACGTGAAGGCTAATGAAAGATTTTAGGTTCAATTCTTTTCTTTCCCAAAGGGAAAAATCATAGGAGCACTGAAAACCCAACAACCATCACAAGGTGTTTTCTTTGTAGATGTCAGGCTTGTAAGTAAGTTGTCAAGATAATTACCTGAAATGAGGTTGTAGCAAGGTGGAGGTCAGCCTCTTTTTCCAGGTAACAGAAATAGGATGAGAAGTAAAGCCTTTAAAGTTGCACCAGGGGAGGATCAGGTTAGATATCTGCAAAAATTTATCCTCTGAAAGAGTGGTAAGTTATTGGAATGGGCTGTCCAGGGAGACAGTGGAGTCACTGTCCCTGGAGGTGTTCAAGAAAATAGTAGGTGTTGCACTGAAGAACATGACTTAGTGGGCATGGTGAGATTGGGGTGATAATTGGACTAGATGATCTTAGTGGTCTTCTCCAACCCTAATGATTTCATGATTCTATGATAAAAATCAATATCAGATGAAAAATATATGATTCCTAGAATACTGACTCAAATGCTCCAAAGTGGCCCAAGAAGGATAATCCAGCATCAGCCTGTCCTGAACACAGTTCAGCTAATCTACAGGCCACTATGGGTCTGTGAATTAAATCTAACAAATCATAAGCACCAATGCAAATTTTGTTTTTCTTTTTTTTAAGAGAATGAAGGAGGAAAGGAGTTATAGACTAACCATTTTGCATTCTCAGAATTTGAAGTTGATCATTTCCGCATGCATTAGTTCAGGGAAGGGTGAACAAATGAGCAACTTACCAGTAGTGTAACAGGGTAGAAAGTGCAACAACAGCAGAGCAGCAAGATCCCATGCTGCAGCAAGTGAGAATTTGCTGAAACATAACAGCCATGGGCACAAAAATAAGGAAAAGAAGCTGTTTACATTCAGAAGGCTTCGGGTACGCAGGGATCTCCAACAAGATACATTTGCCTCCACTGCCAACCCTTAAATGAAGTCTGAGAAGGTGTGGATCCAGCTCCCCTGGGCTGGCCCTCCCTTCCTACCAGGTTTTTAATCACTACTTCAGGCCATGACTTAGCATTTCTGCTACAAATAGCAAACAGAATAAATCCAAGCTTCAGTTGCTGCAGTCTTGCTCTGCTTTTCTGCTTCTCCTCTAATTGTGAGCACTTAACTTTGTAAGAGATGACCAGTAGAAAACCCATCACTGGAGAGAGGAAAAGAATAACTCCAGATAGATCAGCCTCCTAAACTAGCTTACCATGTATTTACACAATCAGTAATGCTGTCACAAGCGAAACAACATGCAGCCAAGATTCAGGGTAGCACTGAAACAGTCAAAATTGACAGTGGTACTTCAGAAGATGATGGAGATATGATGATATTTGTCCTTTCAAAGTTGATTCTGTGGTGCAGATGCCTACTGAACTTTATGTTTAAGTACTCCACATCCAATGTAAAACATGTAAAAATCCTTTTGTGGCCTGAACAAGTCACTCACCGAGTCAGTCTCATGCAAGCAATTTACCTGAAGCTTTCTCAGATAACTTTGCAAGGAGCAATGGAAAGGGGGACTTCTATATCACTGCACATCTGTGCAAAACGTTGTAAAGTAGAGGTTATCTTACCTTGATCCAGTCTGTCTAGTTCCACATAGCTTGACCAAGTGAGCTACTGCCAGAAACACTGTCATCAAGGACTTGCTGCAATGACGCTGTGTCACCCACGTTTCCTTTTCGTAAGTACCTCTCAAACTTCTCTCTAGGCTGCATTTGAATGAAGATGAAGCTAAGTACCTACCTCCAGGAGCCCATAGGCTTAAATCTACCTGACTTTCTTCTGTCTACCATGGGGGACCTAGCTTCCAATGCAGAGAGGCTCAGGAGCCTCACAATACCATGACCTTCCTTCTGCAGCAAAGTTGCACAGTTATTTCAGGGCTTCATATGGTTTTGAACTTTACACTGAGATTACAACAGCATCTGGAAAATTTTAAACAATATTTTATTTAATTTCATAGTTTTCCACAAGGTTACAAATTAAATGTTACCCAAAAGTAAGAAAATAAGCACAAATACACTACAAATAAAACAAGGAAGTAAACCACAATTACCTATATTATGGTGAAATCAGAGTGATACAAAAGTATTATCCACACCTTCAAGCAGACAAATGTATTTTGAATCCATGCTTCAGTAATGGGAAAAAAGTAGAAATTAGGCAGGAAATTGACAACACAGGAATAAAAAGGCATCTTACATTTCAGATATGCAATTAACTTACTATCACAGTACTATCTTTGTGAACAGAGACCATGGGTGGCAGTTTTCCAGCAGCTTATGAAGCTATTAGCAGAAGTAAGAATGAGAAGTAAATATCTACATTATTGCATTCATCATTTGACCAGTATCACATGCTTTAAAAACAATGTGATACCAGTTAAGCAGTATTGAGAAGACAAAACTTGTGCTGAAATTCTCCACTGTATATCCATAAATAGTCTCAGTATTTGTTGAGAAACTATTCTTAAAAACTTGGCTTGTTTGCACTAAAATATTCAACATGACTTGCAAATAATTCTTTAAATGCCTCTAACATATTCAGAATATACTTATCTATGAGACCACCCTATCAGACAAGCTAATTAAGCTTCATTTTGAAGCAACAGCAGGAACTGTCTTCCTCCAGAAACACTACTTGTACATGTATGCAGGAATAGATGGCAGGAACAGCCTCAAGTTATTCTAGAGAAAAACTGACTTGCTGTTTCAATTCTGTTCCTGTTTGACATTATCCTTAAATTAAACAAGAGTACCTACAACACTACCTGAACATCTGTTCCTTTATTCTGCTAACATCTGAATGAGACACCTACCTTCTCCCTTCAGTAATTCTCCAGCTGCTCATTGTACTGGCCAGGGCTCAAAAATGAGTTTAGTACTGCAGAATGGTTCTCTAAAGCTAGATGTAGGTATGAAAACTGAATTCAAGTATCTACATTATCCAGTTTGTCGTCTAAAATAAAAACAAAAACCAAAAAACACAACCACTCTTCTACTCCTACTAGGGTGGGGGTGTCTTCTCTGACCAGTGAAGACTCCTGTACCATGTAAAAAGAAGTTATATTTGACAAAATTCTGGTACAGCTGTCTCAATGTCATAATCATGTCCACTAAAGCCTGTGTGGTACTGCTGATTCTAGGCCCTGGTATTACATCAAATGCCACAACATGTATACCAAAATAATGTATCATGTATTAAAGGATTTATTTATTAAGCACAACTCTTTTCTATTTACAAAGTTGGTCCTGGTTTGATCAGGGTGATAGAATTTCTCACTTCTAATTCTAAATGCTTTTGCCACAACATTTAAAATCTACACTAACTTCCAAGTGTGCAGGTGAAAGTACGGAAACAATATTAAATATTCCAGCCTTGGTCTACATTAGCAGCTCGCCCCTCAAAAGGTAACTAGTGGCATTAATTTTCTTCATTGTCTCCAGAATCCTCGATATTATAAATAATAATATAGTATTAAATACGGTACAAATACAAGTGATAGACTGAATGACTGTGCCATTGAAGGAAATCCAAAAGACCTGTCAGGTTGAATCTGAATATTACGTAGGTCTAGGCGACAGGAATTTTGTACTTCTTCATAAGGGATTTCACTCTCACCCACATCCATCCGTCCTCTACTATTGTTCCGCACCTAGAAAAATTCAAAAGATTGCCCAGATTGGTACGATGGCAAAAATCTTAACGTAGCTGGCAAATTCAATGCTATTTCAAGTGAAGCAACTCAAACTGTATTGCAAAAACATATCTGAACTTGAGTAAAGCAACATCATTATCCTCATATTTGCAATATTTCCAATGAAATATTTCACAGTAATAGTTAAAATGCATTACAGCAATAGTGACAGTACTGGCTTTTCTTTGCCTTAGCTTCCACTACATGCAAATGCATTAATTGAAAGGCCTTAAGTAAACAAACTCATAAACATTCTTCCCTAAGTCAGCTCATAGCCACAGGACAGAATTTCAAAGATGTCTAATTCAGAAGGAACATGATTAGAAAAATCTCACAGACTAAATATGATGAATGTCTGCCTTTTCATGTCAGGCTGCCACATATACAACTCAGCAACAGGTAGATATTCTGGCAGAGTAGTTGGAATGGTACAAAACTCTAATTTCTTTACACCTAACATACCTCAAAAAGGTAAATGGGGAAAAAAATACATAGTCTATAAGGTTTTGTGTGCAATATCTACTTATTAAATTCTGTAAAGAAAAACAAGAATAGGCAGGCAGCTTGAAATTTGCAACCCAGGCCTTCTCAAAAATTATCACTTAGGTGATTCTTACTGTTTTCATACTTCTCTTGCCACTTCTCCCTCATTCTTCTTGGCTCCTTTCTGACATTTATACTTCAAGTTTGCTGTGATCTAGTTGTTAGGTTTACTGTCTGTTAGTGACCTAACCATGACAATAGCCGTTTGGAAAGGAGCCTCATCCTATGATAAGAACTTAATTGATTTTCAGGAGTCAACATTCCTTACTGCATCAACAAGCACAAGTAAGAAAAAGGTCTATGTGGCAGGAAAATCATCAGCTTCTCCAAAGTGTGAAGTGACTGCATTTAGAAGTCAATTATGTTTACTTGACCAGACTACCCTGGAGAGAAAGAGCCCCACAGAGTTCCATCCATTCTCTCTCTCACTTTCCTTTATTCTGCTAATACTCTCTTGGCACCTTGGTTTCCTTCTTGGTGTTTGGAATTATTACTTTAAGTACTTATGCTCCCTCATGACTCTCTCATTGAGTATAAAAAAAAGCAATACATCAGCAGCGTCTCTCTTCCCTTTAGTAAGAATCAGTATTCAGTTCATTTTTTAATCTTACATTTTCCACTTCCCTGAAGACACGGAGGAAGTTCTCCTTTAAGACCCCTTTTAGTTCAGTTTCATTCCACCCTCTTCTAAGAAGTTCCTCAATCAAAGAAGGGTATTTCGAAACATCTTCCAGTCCCTCAGGGAAACTGTTGGCAAGAGCCACACAAGAACATTCAACACAGATCACTTAAAAACGTACCAAAATATTTAAGTAGTCTTCTGCACATATTCACTTTTAGAATGAGCTTCTTTATACCCACTTCTTCCTCCAAGATGTCAGAAAAATGAAGAATCCAAATGACATAACATAAAGCAGGACTGAGACAACATGCAAGACTCTTTTCTGCAGAGAAGATCTCAGTAGAACTAAACTATGCATTCTGGAAGGAACTCGCACTTATGTGCAGGCAGGACAACAGCATAGGGATATTAAAGAAAAAGAAAAAACTCGTGTAGACATTGACCCTCCTATATGTGGCCTTGAGAATAAGAGGAAACATCTGTATCACCAGATACACTGCCTAGGAATGAACAGAAAAGATTATGTTTTAGGCTGTTCACTATGTTCTGCTTTCCTCAAGCACATGCCAAGGATAGCTGATCAAGCCCAGAAGGCAGGAGTGGTTACACAGCCCCAAGGCACTTTAGGCTTTTCCCTCTAGAAAGTAACAGCAGAAAAGAGTTTTGCAGCAGTCACAGAATCATAGAACGGCCTGGGTTGAAAAGGACCACAGTGATCAGACCTGGGGTAACTCGTTTACCATCTGAAGGGTGAAGCGTATTTTCTGTAACTCATCACTCATCTGGAAGAAGGTACCCTCCATCATCATTTCTGCATGCACAAACTGCTGCCTACAGCACACGTTTGCAAAGCTGACTATACATTAGGGCTAGTGTCCTCATTTAGGGCACTCCTTCTTGAATGTTATATTTGTGTCCTTTCTTCATAAAGCTTGTTTTAGCATTCATCACAGGACGATGTACTAAAACTCTTTTAGTCTATCTTCTTTTTTCCCCAAAAGGGATCAAAATTTAAAGAGCAAATAGCAAGGTATTTATGATTTTACCAACCGTTCCACTCCATCATAGTCACCACCAATCCCTATTGATTCTGAACCTGCAATTTTCTTTATGTGGTCAAAATGATCTGAAAGAGAATAACAAAGAAAACAGCTAAGCATATCTCAGGAAGAAATAATTCAGTTCAGACATACTGGCACCAGTCCACTGTTCTTAAACACGTATTCAGAGTCAAATTATTTTAAAAAATAACTCAAAAGATATCCTGATAATACAGGTTAAATTTTAATAACAGTCGATGCATTCAGAATATTTACTGGTGCTCATCTGAGTATCACATGTTACAAAGGGCATCAGATAGCAGCTTTCAATATAACATCTAAAGCAGTGAGATGTAAACAAAGAAAAAGACACAGTCATCTCAGCACATTTATTCCCAACAGAAAGCCCAAATATACCAACAGATTTTTCATTACCCGTTACATAGCAATGTTTTGCACTCTAAGTAGAAAGGATGAAGGTATTTTCCAGCAAGTAACAATTAATTTGGGATTAATGGTTCTTGGCTTTATGTAGGAGTATCAGTTCCTCAAGCTATGCACCTTGTAGCTCTTGCTATTTTTTAAATGAATGTTAGCTCCAAAAAGACTCAGAGCTGGGATAGTGTGGGGAAGGAAATAAGCAAACAGTGCCATTTACGCAATCTGAAAAATGACCCAGATGGCAAGAAATTCTTGGAAGCCACCCACAAAGATCAAAATATATTCACTTCAAACCTGCTACGGTAGAAATATTAACAACTTTTCTGCCACAGGCCAGCACATCTGCATTGAATGTCACCATAATAATCCCCTTGTTCATTTTCTGAAAGAAAGGAAGAGACTGGTGATGAGTGTCCGCACGCATGTCCTGCAAACTTCATAGACATCTTGTGCAGAACCTTTTCTATCCATCCACCAGCGAGCATAACAACAATATACATCAAAGATCAGATGGCAACACAAGGCTTTGCCTTTCTGCCTTTTACCCTGTATTCATTGCATCCTCATGTGGCCTGAACCACCAAGGTCCAGTGACTTGTAATCAAAGACAAAACACAACCCAAAGATGATACCTCAGAAGTGAATGTGTAACTTGCTGCTCTGGGATTTGCTTAAATCCAGTTCATAGATGAGGGGTGAAATGTAAACACCGTGATTTGCGTGTATAAATTTGCCTCAGACTAGTCAAACATCGGCACCTCCCCCTCATTTTATTGTTTTTGGTTTAGTTGTTTTTGGTTTTTTTTAAAGCACTCACCAGCTTCTGGAGAATATCATCAGGAACATTTCTGGAGTGATTACAAACAGAAAATGCAGAAGAATGGCTGAAAATTACTGGTGCTTTTGAGATATGTAGTGCAGTTTTTGCTGTGGAATATGAAGTATGAGATAAATCTATCAGCATACCCAGACGATTCATTTCCTTTACCACTTCCTAGAACAGATTTACAGACAACAGTGTCAGTATTGTGTTTCCTTAAAGGAAACTATTTAGATGATGTACGTAACCAGATAAATTCTGCAGCTGTCAGCTAGTTATAAGCATGCTGCAACTTCATGGGCTTCTATTTACCTATTAAGTTAGCAGTGATTTATTCAGTCATAATTAACTAGAATACCACCACATGCTTAATCAATCCAAAATAAATTTTCCAAATTGTTCTTTGCATCTCACTACTTCCACTTGCCATTTCACACATCAGAACTGTGTTGAAACAGTTGTTAGAATGAAATCTAATACGTAAACATCAGGAATTTATATTTATTGAATCCTAATTACTCCTAGCTAGCAAGAACTTACAGAAATTATGTTTTTAATGATAAGTTGTTCTTGAAAAGGTCAGAAGTTGTTAGTTGCATGAGAGATTGATTAGATTATCAATCAAAAAGAGATCCTTACTTGGCCGAATGCAGTCAAACCAACAACATTAGGATAAAAGTTGTGTATTCCTTTAGATGAAGATTCAGACCTTAAAAAGAGGAGTGAGAGAGAAGAGTCATATCATTCTGCAGACCACAATATCAGCAACTGAAACATCATGTGTTATACACAATAAAGCCATATCACACAGCCAAACTGAGAGATAACGAGCTGCATAATAAGTATCTTGTTCACATAGTGTTCCATATATTTACGGTTCAGGTCTGTTGCATATTTGTGAAGCAATGACAAGCTTCACAATGACAATGACAAGTCCGAATTTTTCTGATTAAACAAATCTTCATCAGAAAGCAAATGTGAACTGTCAGCTACCTGTCAGCCATAAAGCCAGTGTTTCAGACCTCTGCACATAGTTTTCTTTTGCCTTAGTTCAAAGGAAGTTTGCCAATCCAACAAAGAGTAGGTGCTCATATTCACAGAGAGGAACTGAATAACCACCTCCATAGCCACATATGGGAGCCGCAATTTTGAGAGGATGGTTTTAAAGGCTTCTTACTGCCAAGTTCTTAGAAAGCATTTACTATCTTTAAGCCACAGTATATTCATCTTCTTATTTTGTTGTTTTTGTCTGTTTTGACCTATGCAACTATCTCTAATAAAACAAAGTGGAAGACAACTTTCCCATTTTTCTATTGCTAACAAAGTTTAAAAGTTTCTAAATTGTCAGTGCAGGAAGCACTGCACAGCAGATCCTTCAGACACCCACTTGCTACAGGGCAGGTGATCAACCTCCCACCCTGTCATCCTTGTCTTTGTTTGGATTGAGTATGACACAGGCAGCCTTTATTTGAATCCGCATTTTTTCCCTCTTGGAACTGTCACCACATTGCACGATATGGTTACACAAACACATGCACATTAGTTACCAAGGAGTATTGCAGGAATGTGTTAAAGTCATGTAACGAACACCTAGGTCATAATACATCCTCAATGCTGCCAAACTGCTGTCAATGGAGTGACCACCTTCTATTCCAATCAAACATGCAATCTTCCTACTCTCAGAGATACCTGGAAACATCAAAGTAAGACAATTCCAAAGCAATTTCATACACTATTGAGAAAAAATGGTTATTCAGAATTGCAAAAATAATACTGATGCTTTTGTAAGGCAGGAGCTTTATTTCAGGATATATTTATATGGAAAATTATCTTATGACTGCAGCAGGCCAGGGCTTTGCACAGTCAGATATTGTAGTTGAATAGAATAATGGAAGTTACCCTTTAAACTAGAATAGCTAACTTGCCCACTTACAATTTTTCTCTTCTACACATACGTTTGGAAATCTAATTTAAAAAAAAAAAACAGCTGCAAGAGAAACTATCACCTTGGGAAGTTGTTACAAGTTCAAGCTCTTCATAGCTGTTACACATCCTCTTGACAACATCAATTTGCTCTAAGGTCAGACGCACAGCATCCTTGTTCTGAGCGCTGCAAAGAACATACACTGACCAAAACTGAAAGAGACATTGACAAGTAAACTAGATAATCTGTGTTCCAACTGGGAAGCTACAGATTGCTAATAGCGGAGTTCACAAGCACAGGTCAAAGTGATTTCTTACAGTTTACAAGCCACTATAATTTTTCCCCTCCAAAGAAACTGTTGTGCAATTCAGCTCTCCCAACTTACTAAACAACTTCACAATACATGCAGAAAAGCAGATGTAACTTTTAAAATATAATTCATTTAGCAGAAAGCAATTGCTGCTGTTTTGATTAAGGGTAGCTGGATTATAAACACAAACATTTCCAATACAAATGACAAAGAAAAGTGCCTGTTGCTTTTCAGTATCATTTTGTCTCTCCGCTTAGAACAGAAAGAGCCAGAACCAGAGCCAGTAATACCTCTGTGATTGGGAAGGGAATGAGACAAGTGCAAAACTGTGTCCTCATACAGGCTCACTGCCATGACAATACGTACCTGAGCTCCCACATAACCAGCCTTAAGTTTCAGAAGGTTCGTGTGGGTCTTGTTGATTTCTCTTAAGTTGACTTTACTGATTCTATTTTGGTAAAACATTCTCAGCCGTAGCACAAAGTCATTGTGGCTAGAATAGAAAACAAGCAGGGCTTGTGGTAGAAATAAGTTGTTCCTCTTCTAATCCAAATGTAATTTCTTCAATTCTTCTTAGTTTTACAGACCAATAACTGCCAATAATCCTGGTTTAACAGATACTAAAAGTATCCTTCCTCTGCAAAGCATCTTTAATTCTTAAAGCTCCTTCTAATCAGGACAGCAAGAAAGCTTTACGCTTCTCACTTTTACTCCTGTTATACTTCTGTATGTATTTTTCTCCCTACTATTTCTGAAGGAGCAGAAGAACTAAAGTCACCCACCATGCTCCTTAGAAGCAAATGTTCATTATATGATAATCAGCGCTTCTGTTCTCAGGTTAAAACACAGCACAGACATCATTCCTTCAAGTTGCAAGGATACCCTTTCAAACCACCATACCTGCCTTCTAGCTTTGTAAAGAAGTCATTGCTACCAACGATGCCACTAAATTATGGGAAGGAGACAAGGACACTGTGTAAAGGGCAACAATAATTCAGCATTAAAATCTCACCAGAAAAATCACAAATGCATTTAGAGTAAGACATTCTTGTATTAACTACCCTTTGAATTGGAATTCTGTCCAGCTGATAAATCTCAACAATAACTAACTGTTATGTCCTAGGAATAGTCTGCATCCCTACTCATCCTAACACATTTTAGCACCTCCACTTATGAAGATTCACTGAGAGTTTAGTTGAAGATGTTTATATACCCATCAATTAAACGTGTATCTCGCATCAGATTGATAGCTCTGTCTCTCATTGATTTCTCACAGATGAACGGCACCGTATCAAAGAGGAACATCAACAGCCATAGCAACAACTGTGTTGGATTTTGCTTCATTTGCAAGTTTGTTAAAGCAAAGAGATACCACAATATTCGCTGACCACAACTAAACAGGAAAATTTCCAGTCTGCAGACACAGGTTTAATAGTATAAGCAGAGCCAAAACGCCCTCTTCCTGGTAAAGGCTGCAGTTGGTTCTGTAAGAAGAAAGAAAGAAACAACAATGAAAAGAATGGAAGGTGGGAACAGGAACAGTAAGATAGCTACATTCTCCATAAAATTTTAAAACCCATGGCTATTACACTTTCAAACCTATAAGCACTCCAATAAACATTGCTGCTGTCACCAGCTGACTGCTGAAGGGAACCATCTCCCCATTCAGAACTGATAGTGAGCCTGACAGACTCTAGACTCCCATTTCCCCAAAGCAGCTCCCAAAATACCATAACGAGAGAGTTTTCTCTGTTAGAACAACTTTAACTGGTTTGCTCCCATTACTTGGGAAACCTGACACTGAGTTGACATGGATACATTTTTTGAGAAATTCCAAAATATCAGCTTCTCCCTTATAAGTAAATTCCTTTTTTGTTGAAACATACAGCTCACCGGAGCATCTGCAAGGGAAAGCTATTGAAACCCTGCACTTTCTCCAAAGTACACTTTGTGCCAGATTTCAAAGGGTCACTTTATTTCAATGAGGAAAAATGAGAAAATGGGTATGATAACGTCAAGAACAATCAATATATCATTTGTTGGTTGCTTTTTTGTTGTTGTTGTTTTAATACAGTAGTAAAGCACTTATACAACAGCTTTTTACGTGCTGGAAAAAAGATCATTTTACAAACAGGCTAGAAACACCTGTTGTCTGGAGTAAAGTAAATGTAAGGTCTGCTAGGAAGCAAAAGGACATTTGCAGGGAGAAGCTTTTTTCCTACATTCAGAGTTACAGGCAAAATTACCTAGAAAGCTGTTTGAGAAGCAATCACCTCCTTTGTGCATTGCAGTGAAATCCTAATCTAGAGGTACATAATGAATTCTTTCAAACAAAAGTTCTGCTAGGATTCTAATGTTGTGCAGCCAGAGCTGAAGTTTTTCCAAAAGGCAAGAACAAAAAAGAAAAAAATAATGCTAGCTTTTCATTTGTTGCTCACTGAGTTAACGTAGTTGGTGTTAATAAACCATTTTCCAGTAATACAGATTTTTTGTTATTATTACTAACAGAAATTGTTCTCATGAATTGTTTCCAGAGATAAAAACAAATACCAAATATCTAAGAGATGATAAAATTAAAAGGCAAAAGATTTTTTTTTCTTGTATTTCCAGACTACATATGGCTTGCTCCAAGAGTAACATCTCATTATTTCCAAATACAGCAAAGAGCACAGTAACCCTGTCTGATAGAGCAAATTCTTATCTACAAAATGCCATTTTTAAACATAGTGACCACCACCAGCTCTGCATATTCACCAGTGATGAACAAGAGCCGCATGCCACAGTCGTCAAAATCTGCACTAGTGGAAGTGACCCAATGTCACTGCTGCCACGCACCACCCACTTCCACTGGTTGGTCTCCATAAACATTCTGCAAGCATCAATGAATGTCAGTGCTGCCATTTTTTCTGCACAGAGAATTCAGTTTCACACCTTTGCTTCGTATCTTCCACATCAGATGCCATGGAACTTCTACATGCTCTTCCATGTCACTCTCATACATTCTGTTTATTGCAGATGACAGGAGAATAGTGCAGTATACAAGAACTCCTTCAAAAGTAATGCCTCCTATTTTATTAAGTTGGCCCATGACAGCAGAGGCAGTGTTGGTGGTACAGCAGTAGAGGTTGAGCTTTCTTATCAATATTTCATCTTGCTGTGTGACAGATGGCTGCAGAGAGGCAGTCTGATAAATAGTGTTTGACATGGAAGTGAGCATGAAGCATGAAGAAATGACTTCACAACTTGGATTTAGAAATCTATAGACTGGTATTCTGAAAAATCCTTCTACTTTGATGTAAATTGCTTTTTAAAGAAGCTGCTTAGGCCTTTTCACAAGATTTAGGAGTGTGCTAAGTTGTGCACTCATCTGTCAGAAAGTATTTTTGAAGAGAGGAAGTATTTAACCCTATGCAAAAAGCAGCATATGTGGAGAAGTAAGTTTAAAATCAGTCCTGAAGTGGTGTAGGAAAGAAGATCTAGAACAGGTGAATAAACACAACAGTATGCAGAAGGTCTGCAAAGCAGCCAAGTAAATTGCTCTTCCACATACTACTTTTATTCATTGCCACATCTTTATGCTTGTACACAGGAAAAATACTGGAAAAGTCATTTTCTCATGTTGTTTTTTCTTTTTTTTTTTTCTGAATACTGTTTTTAGCAGAAAAATATTTGAATTGCCATTGGTAACCACTGTGATGTGTCAGTTCTGAACAAGCAGACTTCAGTGTTCAGTTTTTAGTTTTACTCAGACAAACTGGTCTTGTTCAACATCATCATCAATGATCCCAGTGTAATTGCTTTCCAACCCCATCATTCTTCTGCACACAGTGTAGTCACAACAATTTTGGAGCATCAGGCTTAGAAAAGCCACCAGTACAAAGCCCAGAAGAAACTAAATGAGTTTCTGAAGAGATGGAATAGGCACAGTCAGTAAATTCCTGACAGCCTTGACATTAATAATTGGATTTGCTGAATTATTATGCTCAAGTGTGCAGTAAAGTAGAGCTCACAATTTGAGGTAGTAATATTGCCTGAAGAAGGTTCATCCTCACACAGTCCAGCTAAGCTGAGAGTTCAAAGTAGAGTATTTGCAACTGAAGTATAGGAGATTGATTGCTTTGCCCTTTAAAGCAATTCCCTCAGAACTTCTCTCAGAGAAGGACAACTACTGAATTTCTTTCCTGTTAGGTTTCCACGCTTTACTATTGCTGTTTTTTCCCCGTCCACAGTTTCTAAGACTTTCTGACACACTGAGATTACCAAATCCAGTAATTTTTAGGTAAATGGGAGTTCTACAAATGCATCTTATCATCTAAAGACTACAGATGAGAACTATTTTCTCAGCAGTCCTAAATAACTGAAATTCTTCTGACATCAGGATTGATAAGCATTATGGTGTAAATGCAGAAGAAACCAGAACAGCCTGCCAAATACTTCTATAACACTGTCAGAGCACATACTGTCAGGCAGAACTTCCTCCAGGTTAAGAGTTCTGACCTCAGTGTTGGGAGGCAGATCCCCAGAGGGAGTAAGCTCTCAGAGATGCAGCAATGCTTCTTTCCTAGACTGCAAACCAGAAACCTCAGAACAACACGTACTTGAACAAACAACTCTTCAGGGTTCCCCTCTGCAACTGTACTCCCAGCTGTATGGACTGCAATAGGTTCCAAAGATACAGACAGAAGACTGCATCTGAAAGGGATTCCCTTCTTCCCAGTCACCCCATTTGGGCCCCTGTCACATGCTTCTATTCTTGTTTAAAAAGTCTCACTGCTCCTGTGTTCCTCTCCATGTCAGCACAAACCACGCCCCCTCCCGACCTTTCCCAACAAAGGTCTTTTTTTAGTAGGGTACTGCCAAGTTCTGAAATATTTCCCATATTTTTCAAATGTTTTGATCCACCATTAAAAAATAATGCTACAAAGCAGAAAGGCACACATACACAGGCCATGGAGATGACCATTAACAACCGAGTTTTACCATAATGAGTATACTGCTCTCATAGGAAGTAATGAACTTTCCTTCAGCAGCACAAGGATGCCTACTAGAGTACTTGTGCCACAGTGAAGTTTATCCTCATACCCAAATATGAACTCTCAAATAATGGACAGTTTTTAAGAAGAGTGTCCACAAATGTTTTATCTTTTTGTACTTGCCCACATTTTTTCAAATCTAAAAGAGAACACACGGTTCCGTTTTCTTCTGATTGTGACATGCAAGAGAAAGATTACGAGGAACAGCAGTTACTGGAAGTATAATCATTCTCACAGTCCTTCTGAAATGGGAGTGCAGCCCTTGAGAAAGCTGTTTTTCTTCTATAAACAGTTATCAGAAATACATATACATTGTAAAACCCCAAAAGCTCTAACAAAACAGCATTTCTACAGAACTGGAAAAGCATATGTTAAAGCATACATGTAGACTTATTTTGTTACTGCAATGAAAAAGATCTTTCTAATCTAGAAAATGTTAGTTTTGTTCTTAACAGTAAAGCATGTAAAATTTTAAAGAAAGGTGAAAAATTGCTCAAGCATCAGAACTTATCACAAAGGCAAACCAGCATTTGAAGACAGTCTTCAGTTTCAGATTCTTCGTTTCAGAACACAACTCATATCTGCAACCCCTTCCTCTAGAACTCTACCAGATCCTCACAAAATGACTGAAAAAGGACATTTATTGGTTCAAAATTCCTAATGAGAAAATAGCAATCCTTCTTCATTCAGTAACATTGTTCTGATGCTACATAAATCTGTTACACAATATAGATTTTGATCCAAACACTCTTTTTCCACCAGTATTATGTCCACAGTGATTTTCAGGAATACTTTTAAGCACGAAATGCACCTGCATGTTCCTCAAGCTGTTCAACTACTAACAGTAATCATTTATACATCACCAAATCTCCATTCTATGTATTTGTTCAAAAATGCTATGAGAATTTCCTACTTAACATTAGTCTCAAGTCATTGTACCTCAAGAACATACAGTAACAGCACTTTCTATGTTTTGTGCTCATACAGCCTATGTAAAATATTCTTTATATTTTGACAGTAACAGTAATTTATCTTTAAGACTATTTAGGTAAAAAGGACACTCACTTGTATCATTATTCAGAAACCACTTCTTGAAAACTGAAGGAGTATTGGAAGCACCAGACTAAATTAAGAACATGATATACAAAGCACCCATACTTGAACAGCAGTTAACGTAAAATAAGAAAGCCATACAGCTTTTTTTCCATGCTGACTGAGCAGAGTTGAGAAGTGGATGTTGACATGAAATGTATAGTTTTTTCTTGTTTATCTAAAAGCTCCTTGGAGCAGATTACCTTCTTAGGAAAATGTAGCAGAGTCGTAATCCACGTTCCTCTGTGTTGAATGCAATTGTCGAAGCCTGGCACCAGATCCTCCTGGCATCAGGACAGCAAGCGAGAATGTCTTCTATTTCTTTAGCTCACACATTACAGGCTTCACACAACAGGCGCCTGGGGACTGCCCCTTGCTCAGGAATGAGGTCTGTGAGAAAGTTTCCAGCTCAGCTACCGCCCACTAACATGGGCCGCGCCGCTTTTCCTCCCTCTTGTGGCAGACTTCTTGTGCAGTACATCAGGTATCTGTCCATTACAAAACGACGCATTTAACACCACTTTGTTTTAGACAAAGGTGCCTTCTATCACAGACTGATTTAGTTTGGAAGGCATTTTTGAAGGGACATCATCTAGTCCAGCATCCTGACCCCAGCTAAGCTAATTTCAATGTTAGATAAGGTTGCTCAGACATTTATTCTGCCGAATTTTTTGACGCCTTTGAGGAAGATCATACAACCTTCCCAGGCTCCTGTTCCAGCGCTCACATTGTGATATTTTTCCCTTAAATCCACTGGAATCTCCTCTTATGCAAACTGTGATGGTTGCATCTCTTCCCCTTGCTGATCCGCTTAAGGAAGACTCTCAGAATTGAATTTGTAGGAAAAACAGGCACAGGTATGCCCTTAACTGATGACCTAATTTTGCCACATTTACTGTATTCTAGACCTTGATGCTGTACCTACCAGGTTTTAATCAGGACTCACCGTGCCATTGTATAGAAGTTAAAATACTCACAAGTTACAGATGACATTTTCAAAGATATTTCTCTCTCTGAACCTTTCTATTCCCTTTCTTGGGGCTGTCAGTTTGGAAATACACAAAGAAGTACGTGCAACAACACGATCCTAGAGCTTCACAAGAAAAATAGCTTGCCAATAATCATTCTTATTCTACCTTATGCTTTCTACAGAAAAAGCAAAGCATCATCGTAATTCTGGTTATGGTTGCACTGCAAAGAATTAACTGAGACTCAAAACATTCACCAGGCTGTTGCACAAGGCACATCCTGACTGGAACATATGTATTTCATCAGCCCACTCATTCTCAGTATTTGGAAATTTAAACAGAAACAAAAACATCTACATTACTAAGAATGTTAATTTGATGGACTTCACTTAAAAACTTTAACCATCAACTTGAGTGGACTAAAAGCACACTAAGTGAAACAAATATTTTCTTAATGAAATAACTGCTGCTTTATCTGAAGTCTGATCTAGGCCAGATCCATTTGTATACATGTGACAGGAAACCCTCTCCCAAATATAATTTAGAGTTGCAAATAACAGATAAAAACAACAGACTCACATTCACTTTCCTACTTACGCTGTAGTTCTACCTCATGTTTCTTTATTAGTGCTCATCCCCTCCCTACAAATTAATTAGTATTGCATAACTATCATTACCTGCAATTTTTTCCTCCTATCTTCTCAATTTCCTCTCCTAGCAAAGCCAGGTTTAATCTCTGAAATGATTTCTGCCTAAAACTATTTCCACATGCCTCCAGGAAAATCATGCTTAACAACAACCCCTTGTTCAAGAACAACTTTTCCTGAGCCACTAAGCTCCTGTTATAACTTTTAATGGTTTAATTCTGTAGATTCAAAACATAAATAGATTTTAAAATCTGCTATGAACCAACTTATTTGGCTCACAGTCAGATTTTTTCTATCATTTTATTTCAATGGCACTAGATGAGCCTTAATGGCTGTTTGTTTTTGATAGTTCTTATAACATAGCATTTAGGATCTATGTCTTTCCTGCAGAGTCCATCTGGCAGGACTGTTCTCTTAATAGATAGCCAGAAAGCTATTTTTTATTGTCCAGAATGTAGTTACACAGCTGCTCCTGATAATAGCAATCCCTATGTTTATATCATGTTTTATCCATCTCAGATACATTTTGGAGCAAGCTGAGAAGCTATAAACTAACAGCAGCACTTACACTCATACCAGCTGCTGTCAAGACACAAAGGGAAAACATAATGCTTTGGAGCTATTTTTCACAATAGAAATGCTTGTTCCACACAGAGCAGTTCACTAGTGCTGAAGAGCTCAAAGAGCTAGCATTTTTACTGCCCACAGATTAAACTACAGATTACTGCTGCTCAGAAAGCAAGGTTTTTGGTTTCTTTTTTTTTTTTTTTTTTTTTTTTTTTTGCATATGCAGATGTCTATGGTAGCACCCAATTTAAAGTGAACTTGGGCTTCTCTAGAATACTTGTACTCTACAAGCTCTCACAGCAACATCTGCCTTGCATGCTAGCAATCTAAGCATATGGCACGGAATCTGTGTATGAATCAGCTTTTGAACTTCATCATTGCACAATGGCTTAAGGATGAACCACACTGACTTAATATTACATGTGCTGCTTACCAAGTATTTGAACATGGTGTCTTCCAAGAAGAGATCGCAATCTCCTAGAATATCACTGTGACAGCTCTTGAGCACAGACATCAATATTTTAAACAGAAAATGCTAAAACATGTAGGGAACAGGAAATCCTATGTATCAAGATTTCTGTTCACATAAAAACAGCAATATTGGCAGTTTCAACTATTGTAAATGAAATTCCAGCTGTTTCTTCTACTGATCCTGGTATTACTTTTAGGTCCTAAAATGAAATGAGTTTATACTCAGTGGGGGAAGTTCACTACTTGTTCTAATCTGTTGAAATCAGCATAGTTGCAATATATTTCTCAGTTAAAAGCTCACAAGAAAAAAAGTCATCTAAACTTGAGAACCAAATGCATTATGAGTTGTTGTTTTTACTTCCCCTCCCCGCCACCCTACATCCCCCTGTCTCGGTTTTGTGGATGGCTGAAGCTGCTACATTTTCATGACCCCAGTTCAACCATCATCAATGAAAACAGTTAAATTATGCCATCTGTTTGTATACTTAAAGAGCCACAGTGTCTGACAGTTATTGCCAAGTGCAAAAAGAAAAAGGAAGGAGTACAAAGATGAATGTTTGTGGTTTTTGTTTTGTTTTGTGTTGTGTTTTTTTTCTTTTAACCTCAGAGGCTTGTTTTCTTTTCTTGTGTTTGGAACAGAGAAAAAGGTTTCACGAAGCACAGAAAGTTTTGTAGTTATAAGAGAGGAAAGTTATAGCTCAGTGTTTCCCATAGCTGAAAGTAAATAGAGCAATGAGATCAGTTACCTTACAGGATGGACACAAACGTGTACTGCTTTGACACTCAATGACTTTCAGCAACATTTTGTACAAAACCCAAAATTATTGGAAGTTCTCCTAAGTAAATATTGTAATTCAAGAGTTAGTTTTTGTAGCGTATTAGAAAGATGAAACAAGCAGCTGAAGGGAAAAAAACATTGTGACAAACTGATTTAAATTTTCCTTTTAAAATACTGCTGATATTTATGAATCAATATCCAATTAGTAAAGGAAACCACTAATCTGCAGCCACTAATCTGCTTTCTTTGTTTCTTTAGCTGTTCATTCCTGCTTTATATGTTTTAGCTTAATGCGTTTTGAAGAAAAGGAAAAGTTCTTGCCACAAGGTGGCAGGCACTTCCCAATGGAAATCTAATCCGATCTTTGATCTAAGGACAGATAGGTGGTTGTCAAGACTGTATGTCATTTCTATGAAGGTCACAAAACGTCCGTGGACAACAGAAGCTGTTGGTGACATTTAATCTTTTAGTATAACTATAACCAAAGACTTCCTGAAACACATTCTAGAAAAAAAGTACTTAGAAAAATCATTTTCTACTCTGGTTTGATTTCTATACACACATTCCTGTTCAAAAGCAGAATTCAGAAAGCTCTATTTCTTCCACTTCACACTTTTTTTTTTTATTAGGAGCAAAGCCATCCACATCTATTTCAATTAGCAGCAACTCCTTGTGACATTTAGGCACCCACAGCTGTGCAGGGCAACAAGCTCCACTGCCATGCACACATCTGAGCACAAAATTCTGAGAAAAGCCAATCCTTGTGACATCAGTAAGAAAACCCAAGAGGATGAGTGTCTACTAATCTTCATTTCTGCCACCTAGTAAAAAGTGTTTTTTAAATTGAGTTTGAGATTTTGCTTTGAGTTTTTGGGGAATTCCTGTAAGTCATCACTGCTGTCCCTAATCTGCAAAATATGTCCAGGTTGGCCTTCACAGAAGCCTGAGTCTTCCTTACTCCTTCCTATACTTCTCTGACTGGAAGCAGTTATACTGGTTTTGGTGCTCTGCTGGTATAATTCTGAAATACAGCTCTAGCCTGAAGCTTCCAATGTTGAAAACTAAACTATATTCTTGGGAACAGCACTGAATATTTTTTCTGTGCCTTGGCCCAAGCGATGTTTATATTCTACTTAAATACATATATTACTTCTATGTACTTCAGGATGATTTTGGGGAAATGGAAGATCACACTGCTAAGGAAGGGCAGAAGTGTTACGTCAGCTGAAGCAGCTCAGGTTGTGCTATCAGCAGCAAGGACATTAGTTAGGATGACTTTTGAGTCAAAGCGTGTGCTGGTGCTTAAGACTATTTCCAGAGTACTCTCACACCTATTGTCACAGAACCACAGGTGGATTGTGGTGGAAGGAAGGGCAGTGTGTTTTGTATTTATTCATTCATTTATTTTAAATATAGTAGAATAGTAAGCATTTCAAGCATTCAGTCTAAGAATGATTTGACATTTTTTCTTACATACAAATGTATTCAAGCTTATTGTTTGCTACTTGTTCTAAGTTGTAGTTATTATAAACTGTGCTACCAAGACATAACAAAATATACTATAACAAATATATTTCTGCATAAACATAATTGAAGTTGTATGCAATATTAATTGTAGATTACATTATTTTAACAAGAAAAATTATATTTAGCTCTAAGCAAACCCATTTTTAAGCTAGAGCTGAACATATTGTCCTTCTCACCCTCTTTGTGTGTAACAGCTAGCCAAGTACTTTCAGGGAAAAAAAAAAATCACTTTTGAGAATCAGGCAGTTCTACCAGAAAACTTATCAGAACAGCTCCCTCATACAGACATCTTTAACTGCAAGTTTGTCAGCACATTCCAGGATATTGGAAGAATCTAGGTTGTACTGATTTCTTTAGTTTTCTTTCTACTGTTTAACACAACACTCTGTGTATGTTCCATTAACTTTTTGTGCAAATATTAATTCCAGGGAGAAAGCCAAGCTGTTTACT